AAATACCTAATATACCTACGCGGGAATATTATTTCTGGTACGTTACGTAATATTACTTGAATCTTTTTAAAAAAGGAGTGTGGAAAATCTAATCTACAGTTCTCAATAGAGATAACATTCCAAGAAAGTTATATCTTTCTTAAGGATTGATTTTAAGTACTATACTCTTTATACAGATTTATATTTTGATATAATAGACGATTTAGTTTATCCAACTGACACAATTTTTTCTAGCGATTTTTTTTTTAAAGAAATATCTTAACATTAATAAGTCAAGTTTAAACTGTAACAAAAAACACCCCATTATTTATTATTTATTACCGTTTTTTTCTCTTAGTGAAACCTACAAATGTTTTTTAAACATTTGCTCTTAGCATCAAAATACATAAAAAAAGTAAAATTAAGTAAAAAATACTATAACAATTTGAAAAGACCATTTATCAAATTTTATTATAATGAAAAGAAATTAATCTTAATACTCGATGAGAGCACGAATAATCCGACTTCAGCTACTTCATAAAGATAATTTATAGATCAATGGCCCATTTAAACTCTAATACTAAGAACATTTAAACTTAAAAGTTTCATATTTCCGTTCCACTCACAGCAAAGAAATTTTATTAGCGATCAATCAGTAGATAGTCTCCGTTCTGTAGAAAAAATAAGAAAGGTTTTGCTACAGCCTCTAAGGAAAATCAAATTTCAAAAATTCTCTTATAAAGGAACACTGTTTTGAGTATAGTTATATTAAACAATTTTGATAACTAAGGTATATTGTTTTTACGTTAAGAGTAAAAACTGGCTAAGTATTATAATAGGTACAAGTGGCATGGCCCGCTATTGCTCCAAGACAACGCTCCGCCGCATACATCGCACAAAACAATTGTGAAACTGAACGAACTGGAATATGAAGTTTTGCAGCATCCACCATATTCACCGGATCTCTCGCCGACCAATTTTCATTTTTTCAGGAAAGATATGCAGTTTTATACAATCACTTAAGAATTCGACATTTCATACGCACCAACCTAATATTATTCTTTAATACATATTTTTTGTGTATCTTGAACCGTTTTCACGGCGCACGCAACGAAAGGCTTCAAAGATGAAATAATTTCTCCCGTTTTTTACACATTTACCACTATATCTTTCGGATATTAGCGCTTTCAAAACAAACAAACAAACTCTTCAGCTTTATAATATTAGTATAGATTTATGTATAAATGTGTGCTTTTCCGTCTGTTGCCTAAAAATCTTAAAAACACAAAACACAAAAATTTTTAAGACAAGTTTGGTCCATAACTGTTATCTCACAGAGTTTATCTCGCAAAGACTTTTTCAATAGAAAAAATGAGCACAGATCGTGAGTCTGTTCGTTATCGCCAGCTTGTGTCTTATTTACCCAATATTAGGAATCAGTAGTGTTTCAGCTTTACAAAGCAATGGACAACGAGATCTGTGATCTGGGAAGTCTAAATCTATTGAGAATTGTGAATCATATTTATATAATAGTTTTTTTTAGTTTTTATGTATTATACAGGTTACGTACTTGTTTTATAAGAGTATAACATTTATATATTTTAAAGGTTTACATTTTATTATCTCTGCAAGTAAAATTCATACATAACACAATACATATGAGTCACCAAATTTTATTATTTTTAATGGTTAAAATATGGGTATTACGTATTTTTTTGTAAAACAATGTTTTTTATTTTTTTAATTATATTTTGATGACCACCTAATTATATCCATTAATCCAAAGTATCTGATCAAGATTTTATCCGATATAGAGGTTTTTTTAGTTCCATAAACAATTTAAGCTGAATGTTTTTCTCAGAACTATTAAACTCCTTACTTTAATTACTTTTAGTCAGATTTTTTTTTCCAACTCGTGTCCTAAGTTTAACTTCAATGGATTTATGTCGGATATTTTGTTGAAAGTTATGTTTATTAAAAAATATAGTTTAATTAAAAGTTCAAAGAATGCAATAAATTAAGAAAACATTTATGTCAAATAATTAGTCGTGTTTCCAAAAATGTTAATTACATTGATATATGGATATATAATAATTGTCATTACTTTCAAAGCAAGAAACCAAGAAAGGCATTTTTTAATTTAATCTTCCCGTTGCAACAACTTACTAATAATAACTGCAATGGATTAATTTTTTTTAATTATTTATTTCAGATAGAAATAAAAGATATAAAATTAGTAAACCAAAAAGTAATAAAAATTAGTAAACAAAAAGTTGAGAATATTTAAAGTTGTTCATTAGAATCATTATTGACGCCAAAAACTTGGAATTTTGATATTTTATTGTATCATTAAATATAGCCTATTTTTTATAATAAGATAATCAATCCCACGTATCGCAATCCTTTCATCGACTGAATTTAGGCATTTCACTGATTTTTAACAATAAAATATATAAGTTGAAAAAGTAAAGATAAAATAATGATCAATACTCGGTTTGGGCAAGATTTAACGGACCGTAAAGATTAGATATTTGTTTTACTATAATTTTAATAACTTTACTGTTGATAGGTTGTTATTCGATATTTGAATTTTAATAATTTTTATAAGTTGAGTTCGGTTTAATATTTATTGAAATACAGTATGTTATATAACAGAGGCTGCTCCCTTGAACTCGTAAATATACAGGGTGACTGGTGAATTACTATCAATATTTAAGGAGCATACTCGGTACATGATTCTCATTCGAATTGTGTAAAAAAAATAGGTACTTAATTTTTGACCAAATTTCCGTATAAATAAATAAAGTGTGTACACGTTCCAAGTGTTCCAAGTGTGGACGCGTGCGGCGGCGTGCTGATACAACACCACGCCGCCGCGCGCGAGTGTGTGTGTGTGTGTGTGTGTATACCTAATCTGTAGGGTGTTCATACGATGCGTAATTAATTACATAACTTTTGGTTAACTTTACTTAGAAGTTTATTAATATTTATGTTATATTAATTTTTATGTTGTCATATATGATCGTCAAATTATATCACGTCCTCAAGTATCGATAGTAATTCACCAGTCACCCTGTATATCACTAATAGATTAAAATAAATATATCAGCATAGAAACATAAGCATAAAATAATCTGAATTAAAAATATATGTCTATATATATCTACTAATATTATAAATCTGAAGAGTTTGTTTGTTTGTTTGTTTGAAAGCGCTAACCTCCGAAACTGCTGGTTCAAATTGAATAATTCTTTTTGTGTTGGATAGTCCAGTTATCGAGGAAGGCTGTGGGCTATATAACATCACGCTACGACCAATAGGAGCAAAGATATAGTGGTAAATGTGCAAAAAAACGGGAGAAATTATTTCATCTTTGAAGCCTTTCGTTGCGTGCGCCGTGAAAACGGTTTAAGATACACAAAAAATATGTATTAAAGAATAATAGCTCTTTTAATGATCTAAAAAACAGTCCGCGACAGTATATATCTATCTTTTAAGATTAACTCACAAAAACCGTTTTTATGGTACCTAATTTAGTCGAAATAATTTGTTTAAGTTGTATCAACATAATAATATTAATCTTTATTCAAATAAACAAATAAATATGTTGTTGGTTAAGAGTACTTCATGGTGAATAAAAAAAAACAGGTTTTATCCTGAAAATTCTACGGGAACTCGACCATTCCGAAACCCCCGCAAGAACGGGAACTATATGGGAAGAACCAAAAATCTGCCGGAAGTCACTATTCCACGCGGACGGAGTCGCGGCAAAAGCTAGTTCACAATAAATTCGAAAATTCCTCCTGTGCAAAATCAAAATAGTAGCGTGCAATAGTGCATTGAACAAGGCGGTGGACATTTTGAAAATGTTTTAAAACGACAACGCCGTGCGAGTGCAAATTAAACTGTAAGTTTGTTTATGATCTTTAAATTATTGTTAATATTTTGATTCATACCATTTAAACACGCCGACTTTGTCGTAGTTATTGTGGTGTCTAATCAAATCACGCGTTATCAGCTGTTTAATAATTCTTATTTACAAATTTAATTTAACAAATCAGTAATTATAAAATATTGGCTTCACATTAAAAAAAAATCCAATGTCGACAATCTAAAGCCTGAAAAGTGTGATGGGAAGAAGAATCATAAACCATAATGTAGTTATTTCGTGTTCTCATTATTACCTACTTCTTATTATTGTCGGACGGCACTCGGAGAGAGGGGCGCGGGCGCGGCGAGTACATTGTGTCTGTCTGTGTGTGCGTGTGCAGCGGAGTGTTGGTGAATAACTGAGCACATTATTTGCACGAAATTTTGATAACTAATTTCACAAAAAAAAAATGCAAACCCACATATAAATAATATTTGGTGTATACATTGCGTTTATATTATTATATTCTAATTGGGGTGTTACATGTTGTATATCACTAAAAGATTAAAATAAATATATCAGCATAGAAACATAAGCATAAAATAATCTGAATTATAAATATATATGTATATATTGACAATAAATTCGAAACCTCCTGTGCAAAATCAAAATAGTAGCCCGGAATAGTATGTAGGTAGGTATCTAGCGTAGTAACATTGCCCAAACTCGCAACGTTGCAATACGCACGATGCCGAGCGGCGACTTTTAGGCCTCGGCCTCGAATTTTGCGGGCAGCGGAGCGGCGGCGGCGCCGGCACGGAAACGCATACATTTCTCCAAAATAGCGGGCAGCGGGCACCGCTGTATTCGAGGGTCGCACTAACGAGCATTTTGTTTTCAAAACCGGACAAAAGTAACAATTACAAATTTCTGCGAATATCGCCTAAGTTGGCGTTTTATGGCAACTGAATAATGGTACTGTCATAAACCAGTCTTATCTCGGACCAATTCCCTCCGCGCTTCCCGGTAAGTTAATCGGAATCTAGTCGCTGTGTAGTACACTCGTCTATTTGTTCGATACGTTCTATTGTTCCCGAATTTGCACGTGGTGTTAAAGGTGGTTTGCTGTAGATTGTGGAAAGTTTTAGCTATGGAATCTGAAGCTCGAGGTATGTACTTAATATAAATGAATATTATCTTTGAAACCATTGACTTTTATGTACTTTAGAACGATAATAATCATAAGAGAAAAGTAATTAATATTGTGTATGTTTTTTTTTACTAATTAGTACTTTTGTAATAGTACCGGGTTAGATCGGGTAATCATTACTATTTTGTAGTAAAATATAGAGTTTCAGCATGCTAGAACACTAAAAACTTTTTCCACATCTTTCCACCACTTAAAATAAATGTACTTTTAAAATAATATTAAGGGTTTTTTTATTGTTTAGCTAATTTACAATGTCGTCGTTTCTTTGCAGATTCGACATCAAATGTCATTCAGACGTCTCGGAAATCATTGTATATGATTTTTAAAGAGAGTCCTGCTAAAAACTTAGATGATAAAGTATCATTTATGGAAAATAAGCTTCGAGAAATGATGAAATGTCCCCGGAACGAGTTTCAAACCTTAGGTCACGATTTAAGACATTTTAAATCAGATTTAAAAAAGAGATGGGTATCGTGCAATTATATTGAAGACAGATTTATGAAAAAGAACGAAAGATGGCTTAGTAATTCAATACCAGTACATACATGGAAGCAAAACACCAAGCCAGGGCGCCCAAGCAAGGACTTCCAAGAATTGACTGATCGCAGTAAAAGACGGAAAACAAAACAACTTCGTGAGGAGGTACCAGTTGAAGTGCTTACTTTTGCTGCTAGCGTTGTCAAAATGTGTCAGGAAATGCTGCGGCTTCGAAACTTATAAAAGATGCAACATCTTCACCAACAAGAGCGAAGCGGTACAGAAAAGTAATAAATACTACTCTAGAACCAAAAATAAAAAAGTACACACCTGATGAAGCTTTGCGCATTTTTATCGAAGGTGGCTTTACAAGGAAACAATGGGAGTTACTGCACAAATCAACTAAAGGTATATTCCCTTGTTATACCCTTATTAGAGAAGCAAAGAAACTCTGCTATCCAAAACCAGAGGCAATTCAAGTAACGGAGACTTGTGTAGAAGTTGTGCTCCAAGACTTACTGGATCACACAGCTAAGAGACTTTGTCTTTATCTTGAAGATGTACTCCAAAACTGTACAACAAAAGAATTGAAAAATCTGGAGCTCATTTCAAAATGGGGTTGTGATGGCTCTCATCAAACTCCCTACCAACAAAAGTTTTTAGACAGCTCTCATGATGACTCTCATATATTTCAAAGTTCATTGGTACCCTTGAGATTACAGTCACATATCGGAAACAAAATGAAGACTTTATGGCAAAATCCGACACCATCATCTACTCGGTTTTGTCGGCCAATCCGGATTCGATTTCTCCACGAAACAGTAGATATAACAAATGATGAAATAAAATATGTAGAAGACCAAACCAAACAACTAGTAAGAACTGAAATAGAAAATCATTATAGAGGCACTTTCGTGCGACATACATTACTCCCGACCATGGTTGATGCAAAAATTTGCAACGCAGCTACTTCCACGTCATCCACTATGAGATGTTACATATGTGGCAAAACTTCCAAAGCTTTTAATGATCTCGAAAATTTAAATGCAGAGGATCCTCAATCATTAAGATTCGGATTGTCAATTCTTCATGCAAGAATTCGTTTCTTCGAAACGGTTTTGCACATAGCTTACAAGCTTCCTCTGCAAAAATGGCAAGCCCGAACTGCAAAAGAAAAGGCTGTGGTTAAAGAAACAAAAGAAAAAATTCAAAAGAATTATAGAGAAAAGACTGGCCTTATAATAGATATGCCAAAAGCTGGTTTCGGAAATTCCAATTCAGGCAACACGTCTAGAAGATTCTTCGCCGATCCTGATCTAGCTGCTGAAATCACTGGCATAAATAAAGAATTTATAATTAAACTAAAAGTGATTTTGGAAGCAATATCATCTGGCCACAAAATAAATGTAGATAAGTTTGGCGAGTTTTGTAAAGACACTGCAAAAATGTATGTCAAACTTTACGGTTGGCATCCAATGACGCCAACTCTTCACAAAATATTAGTGCACGGCACAACTGTTATAAAAAACATGCCATCCTTCCCATTGGACAACTATCTGAAGAGGCCGCGGAAGCCCGTAATAAGCACTACCGCTCATACCGGCAAAATTATGCCCGAAAGTTTTCGAGAATAGTGTGTAATGAAGATATCCTCAACAGACTGCTGCTCACATCAGATCCATTTATAAGTTGTTTACGGAAACTTAACCCGAGCAAAAGCCAGCCTTTCATGAGAGAAACTATTGAGTTGTTCGAGCCGGAAGAACTGGATTCAGAAGTAGACCAATTAACAAGTCTTGCTTACTCTGATGAATCAGACTAAGATTTATTAGAATACAATAATGTTGTAATTTTTTATAATTATTTTTAGTTTAGTCATTTTTATAAAAAAATATATGTTTTCTTTGATCAAATACGTATTTTTATTCATTTCCAATAAAATAAAAGTACTAAATAATTTTGACCGATTTTAAAGTAAAAATGCTCCTTAGTGGGTCGGTCCATTTGATTATACGCGTAAGATCCTGCCGCTCCCGCTGCCGCTCCGCTGCCCGCAAAATTCGAGGCCGAGGCCTTATAATGGCGGCATATAGAATTGTGAAGACACGTAGTCGGATAGTTATAAGTAACAATAAACATTTTAAATGTATGTTTAGTTTTAGCAATACCACTTAACCCGTCTCAAATGTATCGCTGACAAAGGAACGTGTCACTGAGGTACCTATTCGCAAATAGTAAATAAAAAAACATAAATTCATGTATCTACATATCTAAGCCGCGTTTCAATAACATTACAATTAAAATACAGAGAATTAGACAGAATCTGTACGCAGCGGCCGAGTATTGAACGCGGGCTTTGAGTTCTGCCGACAGGTCGCCGTCGCGTCGTCGCGCGCTTGTGGCCACAAAATAAAGAAATACTAGTTAATACAGAAGGTTTACTCACGGACATGGGCACATGAATTTGCTTTATTAAGTTGGATGACAGTATCATTTATTTAAACCACAGTCTAGGCAAGGATTTAAATGATCATGGCGGTATTACGCGTTAGTAAGTGAATGTTTTCTCCAATTACAAAAATTTAAAAACTTTTACTTTATGCTAGTTACCTTCGTAATACCTAAGTAGTACTTGCGTTTATTAAAAGCAATCGCGTATCGTCATGGTGGTAAAATGTTCGTTGAACGCGGTAGAAAGCAGTTTTAGGAAAGAGTGGGCCTTCTGAACTTATTAATTTTGAGGCACACTCGTTTAGTGTTCTTGAAATGTTCTTGAAATGTTTAAGGTATTATGTTACATTTAAATAATGTTAAAACTTACCTGGATTTTGAACTGCTCAGTATGCACAGGTGGCTGGCTCTTCTAGGGCTTGAACCGGGTTCCTCCTCAAAATGTCTTAGCACGTTCTCTTCCTGCCGCACTGAATTCACGGGTCGCGGGCCACCACAACGACGCGACACTACCGGCTTATTGTTACGCATACGCACCAGGACACTCACAATTACACGAGAATTCAGCGGTTGGTGTGTATTAGAGCACCTCTCAGCTTACATCATCAGAGCACGTTCGCCATCATAATTACACTCAGCATAAATGAGCACCATGTTCACGTACTCCTGCGCACTGAACTTATAACGCGGCATCTTTCACGCGAGAATAACACAAGATGTAGTAATGCGAAATAATGAACGTCTGGTCCCAGTCAACGCGTGCGATTACTACTGCGAATAAAATTATGAGGACGTTCGGGGTGAGGGGGCGGGGCGACACTTTAATATCGTAGATCAATCTCATAAAGCCAGTACTTCTAAATAACAATAAAACCTTAACTAGAGCAAACTTATCATTATCTTAAGCCAAAACATCTTAAATAAGTTAAATTCTATTAACAAAAATACAAGTAGTGTTCACAAATTACTTTCCCGCGTAAAAAGTCAAAAAACCAAGCGTCATCGCTTTAATATCACTTCGGATGCGTTCGGGAATTGAAAGGTTTGGTTCAAATTAAAAGTGTGTTTCCTAAGTATTTTATATATGAAGGCTTGAATAATATTTAGTCCGAGAATATTACGTATTAATAGAATTTTACAAAACACACACCTAACGTCATTTCCAACCCGACGAAAAATCGTGTACCTAACTATAAAATTCAAACTAACACCAAAACGGCTTTTAGGGGGCGTTTTTGAAAATAACTATAGAGCGACTATAAAATAAAGATTCACTACAACTAAAAAATTTTGAAAATTAACTTTAAATTAATTAAATGTAAAAAATAATTCATTAAGTGATACGAATTTTTTATCATGTCTGTAAAAGTCCGTCAAAGAGTATTTTGTTTTCACTCTGTGACACAAATGACAAAGCCCATGGCGCCCCGCGAGCGCACCTTGTGAGTTGTGACCTTTCTCAGTTGCTAATTACTAATTAGGCAATTGGCGCTCAAAACTTATTGTTTAAGTTACGATTTACACAAGAAGTTTGTCATGCAATACGCATCTCATCATTTTCAAAAGGACGCAGTAGACTGTAAGTAACGAATATATCCATTACTTTTTACATATATTCCGATTATTCGAAATTATTATTGTTACGTTGAATACTGTATCTTGTGAACATGTAGTGGAGCTACTTAGATTATGTTCGTTTATTGTATTGTAAATTTATATTCATTTCTATATATTATGTATATTAATTGTTTAAAATTTATTTAATATTTTTATTTCTTGCGATTAACCAACTTTTTATTAAATTGTATGTTGCGATTTGCGAGGATGCGCGCTGCGTCTATTGTACGCGTCGTCTGGGCCCGCGCACCTGTAGCCCCGCTAGCCCCCGCTTTTCCCCGCTGGTCAGCCGAGCGGGCACTGCGCCGGGCTCGTCAGTCCGCACAGACTTTAGCCGTGTAACGCTTGTCCGTCATCGCTACGGCGACACTCGCACGCGCATCCTCGCTTACGAAAAATAATATCCTTCTGTATTAATGGCTTTTAAGTATTTTAAATTGCCAAACTTTGTTTAATTCGCTAAAAACAAGTTTCGACTTGAACTAAAATAAGTCATTTCCTGTATAATTATCTCCAGTGAAATGTTCAAGACGGAAATGGTTCGTGACTACCGGTAATGACTATTAACTGTGCTTGTTTTTATTTCGTATAGAATTATCTATAGGATTAACAGCAATGTGAATTAATATGATATTAATATGGCTCTTTTGGGTCTTGATTGTTCGAGCTCTGATCATCTACCAGGAGGGCGTGTGGGTATAGTGCAATGAATAGAAACGACGGGTTTTTTTACGTTATTGAGAGTTTTTACGACACTTTAGTGCTGTAATTAGGTATATCTTGCATTGTATCGTATGTATATTGATAACGTATCGTAGCTTAGCTCGGGCTTGTTCTTTAAGCAACACGAATAATTGTTCCAGGTTTGGTGATCATGAACAAAACCTCATGGACAGCCAATCTATCAGCCTACAAGCGTAAAAGGTACGCAGAACTTAAAAATGATCCAGAAATGAACGAAAGAGAAAAATAAAAGGAAAGACTACGGTATATCAAGAAGAAAGAAAGGCGAGAATTTGTATGTATGGATGCTATATTATTGCGTATTAACGGGAATGCCCTCTGTAAGTAACATACTGTATATTACGGATATATGTTAAGAAGTATCAATTCCCATTTTCTAAAATATAAAGCCATTAATTTTCTTTGATATTAGTAAGAGTTAAAATACACTGACTTTTCTAAAAACTTATTTGTTTTAAATTTTTGGGACACTTGGATAAATTTTCTTTGTTAATTTTATATGTTTACAAATTAAAAGATTTCACCTTCGTCACTATACCGTGATTTTGTTTATCGAAAATACATATTTATTATTTTTTAAATACCAAAAACAATAATTTAATTTCCGACAGATAAACAATAACCAACTGTTTTATTTATTAGATGGAATCCTTAAATTTGTAAACATTTTTAAGATCCTTTATATTTTAATATTATTACACTGTCTTGATTAAGTCACCTTGAAGCATTGTGTGTGTATTTTGAGCATTATGCGTATATAATAATGTCGGCTTTCTCTCGTCTTAAGCCACCTTAAAATAAATATGTAAGTTTATATAGATTTTATTATTTTGCTATGTATACCAAAGTTATAATTCGTGCAATTTTCTTTATATTTTTTATAGTATAACTACTAAGAAAAATTTCCAGGTTAAAATATTGTGAGAACGATATTTCTCGTATATGTCGCGGATTGTTTAATAAATTTGGGATATTTGGAAAGTTTTCAATGTCACCAGTAATTTATGTTATTACTCATATCAGAATATACTGTGACAGGAAACAAACACTCTCATATTAAGTAGATAAACTAATTTAAATACATAGTTTTACAAGCGAATGTTTTCGTTAAAAAGTTATGAGTTTTTTGATCACAATTGGAGTGAAATTTTTCCTCTCAAAATAAACTCTCAGAGAATTAATCTGTATTTGTAAAACTAACGTAGAATAAACGAATCATCTATTAAATAAATTTTACTCAACAAATGAGACCAGTAAGGAATAATTTTTAATACAATTTTCAACCGAGTTACCTACGTTCTAAGAAAGAAATGGCCTTACAAATGGTAACGACCTTTGCCAAAAGAAAATGTTTTGTAATATCTTGTGTACGACCATATAAAGTTATATTTTAGTTTATATATGTATTACGAGTATTATATAATTTTATGATGTATTGTGAATTATTTAGCTTATAAAATTATTAAAAGACGCATCAGTAAGTATATGTATATGGAGTATGGAATATTTCGTTTTCAACGTTTAAATGACTGATGATAAAGTAAGAAAAAATATTCATCGTAGTTTTAATATAAGTGTACGGGTTTGTACATTAAAACTATGCGCTGGTTCGGTTATTCACTATTTATTTTCTACACGAATTACAATTCTGAACACTGTTAATAATCTTCCGTTTCACTGTTCGCTGTTGAAGAATTTCTATGATGCTATCCCGCACAATAAGTCACTTAATAAAAGTCACATAAATCCCTTAAGTACAAGTTCCATTATGTACCTACCAAATCTATGTATGATATATCTTTATATACCTAGCCTATACCTATTTAGGTGGTAGAGCCTAGCTGTAGTTTAGTTACTATAGCTCGAACATGGGCTGGCTCGACCGGGGAAGTACCACCCTCTCACAGAAGATCGGCGTGAAGTAGTCAGTAATGACTGCGTTTCGTCCGATGAGTGAGAGAGCCGGTTGCCCTTTCCCTGTTCCCAACCTTTCCTTGTATTTCCTTATTC